ATTTGCCTGTTGCTCGTTCGTCGTATTGCTCATTATGCATCATCGTGAAGCAGAAGAAGAATACTTGGAAAGTATTCGTTTGCCCGGTAAGGATATTCTCGGTAACACAGCTGACAGAAGTTGCAGAAAATTTCCGCATCAAGGGTGTAGTGACGAAGTATGATGACTTGGTGTTGAGAAAACAAAATATATACCCTGAAGAGCCACCATTTGGCATCAAAAATGTAAGTCTTCTTCTTGTATGTTTATTGGCAACCAACTGATAAATTAATTTTGCATTTATAGCCCAAGACTGGAGATATTTATACGCCCATCATTGAGAATGAAATTCGGTTTATGACTGTCAACAGTACCTTCTTCCCTTCGGACCACATCAGCATTTTCTTGGCAAAGGTCGTCGTGAACGCATCCCAATGTCTCAAGGTAGTGGTTTCTATGATTTCCAACTTTCAGAATCGGGAATAGTTAAAGTTGAATTTGACAACAAAGAAAAAGAACTGGATAGAGTAGAACGTACAAAGTCGATTGAAGCAATTGTTAAACTGTATGACTCTCACGATAACTTGCTACACATTGATCCATTCAATTTGCAAATCTATGAATTGTCAGAAGAAGTTTTCAATGCGAATATATTGAGCATTCAATTGGGTGATCAAGTGGATTTGGGTATTGGCGAAATAAGGTATACTAAATGTTATCATTATTTTTTGCACATATATTTTTAAATATGTTTGGATAATAAAAATACGTATATATTTTTGTTTGAATGTAAAATATATTGGTTGGCTTTTCAGGTACATAATAACAGGCAATAATTTGGGTGAGACTAAAATAATTTTTAGTTCTGGTAGTGGTGAGATGTTGGTATCCAGCGAGCCTGTAAATGTTCAAGTAAGTTTGTATTCCACCTAATGAAAATGTAATTGATTTATTCAACACCAATCAAATATTTCCAGGTATTCCCTCCTTTACACAACCAGATGTAAATATTGTTTACCACGTAGTACCATTGGTTAATATTCAAATAAAAACACCTTTGGTGCGTATCCGCAGTGGAGCCGTTATGCCAGCTTATATATGGGGTAAATTTACAATTTAAATCATTTTTGAAATAAAATTGTGTATATATTTACATTTTCTATATCAAGGAACTCCTGATTTATCTCCCATGGTCTTGGGCACCTTGTCTAATATGCATATAACATGGTCAACTAATCAACCCGATGTAATTAATATATACAACGTTTTTGCTGATGCCGGTGAGTTAAATATATGTAAAATCAATTTTGAATCACGATACAGCATTATTCAGGTAAATTATCCTGTAATGCTCACAAACGATTCATATAAAAATTATTCTTTGATGAGCCTGAATGGTTGAGCTTCATTTCAGGAACAGATACGGAATATACAATTAATTACAAAATTTGTATATAAAAAATTTGCATTAGCTATATTTCAAACTCACTATTATTTTCCAAAGGAAAACCATAGAGATACTACATGTAAGAATGTAGTATCTCTCTGGTTTACCTTTTCATTGCTTCGATCATGTAGCTCATCTCGAAAGAGAAATTAATAAAAACATTTACATAAATGATCAGTCGCCCTAAAAAGTCATAAAACTTGTAAAGGAAAATATTTAAAACCATATAGGGGAACTTCGAGTGATGTAAACTACCATTTTCTTTTTTATATTGTCGGCGTAATAGTACATTGTGCAGGATTTTTTAAATCATGTTAATGTAAATTATCAATTCCATTACATATATGACAAATAAGTGCTCAAAGAGAGTTCACAGAGAGTTCACTGCAAAAATTCGGTACCAGGTATTTTTGATGTTGAAAATGTTGATAAAATCGGAGTAATGATCGAAGTTGACCGGCATGTTAGCAGTCGTAACATCGCACAGGAAGTAAAAATCGACAGTAAAACTGTTTTAAACCATTTACAATTGATCAGAAACGGCCAGAATTTTTCAACAAGAGAGGTGTCGTGTTCCTCCAGGACAACGCTAGGCCACACACATCTACAGTGACTCTCCAGAAACTTCATGAGCGTGGTTGGGAAGTTTAAATGCATCCGCCATAAAGTCCGGACTTGGCACTAAGCGATTATCATATTTCTCTTGCATTGCAACATTTCTTTAATGATAAAAAATTGGTATCTAGGGAGGATTGTGAAAATCGACTACTAGAGTTTTAAGCAAATAGAGAGCAGGAATTCTATGAGAGAGAAAGTCCTATATTTCATATAAAATAATGGATTTCTTTTTCCCCAACCTAATATATTCCAGGCAAAACATTATATAAATATACATATATAAATAAATAAAATGGCCTTCTAGAAATTTCCATTTATTTAATTTTGGTTAACTGAATGCAATAATTAATATGGGTCCATGTTTTTGTAATTGCCCCCATTTAAGGATGACCCCCCATTTGCGGCATTTTGAAGGTCCTACGATATTTTATGAATATTTTTTTGTGTATCAGTTGAAATATTGATTTGCGCGATTTTATTTGCATTCCGTAAAGCAAATAGTAATTTGTATAAAAAACATTGACATAATGTTTTTCGTCACATCAGACACAATCAGACACCTTTTGATTATTTGGTGTACAATTAACATAAATAAGTCGAAATTATATATGGAAGCTACGATATATCTATATCTGAACCGATTTGAAGCAAACTTGCCAAAAATTAATTTATATTAATTTCAGTACGTTGTGTCAATCTGCTTAGCTGTGGATCTTTAGTGCACAATTTACTTAAAATCGGACGAAAATATATATAGGAGGTGTACATATCATTCTAGACTTAATTCAATGCGCTATGCCAGAATTCATGCAAATCGAATGATTTTCAGAGACTTTGGTGCACGATTTACCTAAAATCGGACGAAACTATATATGGTAGGTATATCTAAATCTGAACCGATTTACACGAAACTTAGCACACATCATTCTAGATTTAATTTAGTACGCTATACCAAAATTCATGCCAAAAGATTAGGAATCTAAAATCGGGCGAAACTATATATGGAAGTTATATCTACATCTGAACCGATTTTCACGAAACTTAGCACACATTTTTTAGACCATTCAGTAGGCTATACCAAATTTCGTGCAAATCGAAAGATATATAGGGACTTTGGGACCCCATTTACCTTAAATCGGACGAAAATATATATGGGAGCTATATTTAAATCTGAACCGATTTTCCCAATTTAATAGGGTTCGTCCTTGAGCCAAACAAATAAGCTGTGCCAAATTTCATCCAATTCGGATTATAAATGCGACCTGTACTTTGTTAACAATTTAACATGGATAGACGAACGGACGGTCGGCATGCATAAATCGGCTGAGAAAGTGATTCTATTCATATTCTCAAAAGGAACCATGGGTCTATCTCGATTATTTTTGCCTGTTACAAACATATGCACAAATACATAATACCCTGTACCACAGTGTGGTGAAGGGTATTCAAATTTCGATGGAGATATAAAACCAACTTTGTTTAATTTGAGTTTGCCATCTTAAGATCCACATATAACAGCAATATCCGAAAAAAAATCTTATATTAGAGTCTGTATTAAAACATATATTAATTTTGTGTAGGAGAAAATAGAATGCTAAAATATAACAGGACTTGTTTGAAAGTACGCACAAGGTTTACGTCTGTATGTCATAGGAAGTAAATGAAAATGTCTCAAATATATAGGCAATGATATATATGATCTAGCAACTCTTACAAGAAATGACCTTTCAAGATGGGAAGTTAATTTTGGAATTAATATTTGAAGTTTTCTCACCGACCTGGAAAAAATAAATTCATTAACTAAATACAGTGGTGCTTGGTATTTAACGATTTATTTTATGTTTCCTACGTGCGGCCCATGGCTCCTTGTGATGTTGTTATATTGTGAATTACAATATTTTTTTTTTCTATGGATTGGCTTCAAATCTTGCCTTCTTAAAGAAAATTGAAGGATCATAAATCCCCGGCCAAAGACTAAATCATGGAAATTGTGTTGACCGTATAGGCGTATTGAACCCCCGCCGAGGATTGTGACAAGCACCAGGGGGCCGATTCCAATATAGGCTAACATAATCGGACATATTTCCACACATAAAATAAAATATGTGCGCCAATCGGCGAACCTTGTTATAAGAGAGGCGTAGGAAAAAATGACTGCATGAGACTACCTTGTATAATTATGTCATGGGCTATATTCAAAGTTAGTATTCGTTGCTACGGAATAAAACATATTTAGTAGTGCTATATCCTGCAACATGCAAGTAGATTGACTACTATACCTTACCCAGTCACATTGTTTGAATTCTATGGAGGAATAATTTAATACGATTTTCAACAAAAGAGAAATTAAGTTGTCATTATAAAGTGTGATCATAATGTCGACAGACAAATTCATTTATTTCAATATAAAAGAGGATTTATTAACATTCATTAAAGCTGATTCTTGATTTGTGCAAATACGTTCATTTGCAAATGTGACTTGAAGGTAATCGCACACGAAAGAGAACTAAATATTATTGAGCAACATTAAACGAAAATATTATACTTTGGGTATAAATATTTTTTAAATCAAATTCATGTTTGAAAACTGATAACCTTTGATACATATATTTTTGCACTGTTAATTGTTATTTGATCAAATTATTGTTCATTGTGTTGAGTGTTAATTTAATGTTCGCCTCCATGAGTTCGATATGGATCGATTGGCAATTGATTACCAGATCAACAAATTTACGTTATAGTAAGTAAATACGTTTACGTCTCGGATTTTAGGTCTCTCCAGCTTAAAATTGTCATTCCGTTTGAAACACCCTAAAAAGTGTATATGTGCCGATTAAACCATGTTCATCTGTTGGTTGAAGTATGAGAGTCCGAAACTTGAACTTACAGTCACTGGAATTGTGGATTTATACTAAAATTTTCGCAAATGCGTGCACAAGCAGGTCCTTCCCTGTTAAAGTCGTTCTCGTTTTGTAGGTATATAAGGAATAAACAAATGCATGTTCTACGTTTGTCCCTTTGTTGTAGAAGTCCTTCGGTTATTCTACAGTTTACCATTGGGTTTCAAGTCATTCAGTAGTTCCATTATATGTTATAAGAAAGCACTACTTATCACGATATTTTTATTGCATAGCTGATTTACTCAATTAGTATGTTATTTAGTTGTTGTTTTTTTTTTCGTAGTTCCCACGCCTGCCGACTGAGGGCGACCTCATCTTTCATAGGAATCGCGTACACAAACCACGATCTGTATCATGATGGGATTTGAGAGTGGAATATAAAACCAGCTGCAGAATCTACTTCAACATCCAGTTGTTTTACTGCTCATGTAAAAATATACATTAGTGTATACAAAATTTGAATGAATACACATTTTACAACGTGGATCTCTCATAGAATAATTCGTGAGATGGTAGTCTGCATTCATTGGAATAGTGATTTTGTGTTGCCTTCTTACATTAAAAAAGTAGACGTATTGTGTTGAACAATATGATGGTAATTAAAATATTAAACGGTAATATACCCTCAGACTTCCTAATTTCATCCATTAGAATAAATGTTCCTTTTCGATACAGAACATATTATCAACTATTATACGAAGATTTTCCTCGCACAAATTATTCTATGGGAGATCCAGTTAGTAAAATGTGTATTGATTTTAATTCTGTGCATTATAACGTAGATTTTTGCATGAATATTGAACTTATAAAATCTAATAAAATTGTATTTTTATAATAATGGTTTACAATTACTTTATATTGTAGAATAATTTGATCTGCTCTGTGGGAAGCGGTTATGCAAAACTACAGCTGAAAATTTCGAAATTTGAAAATCGACATAGAATTGTTAAATACATAAGACCTTTCCATTATTTTCTACATTAATCTATTATATTCGATAAATGGTATATTTATTCGTATTAGATTAGGTTTTTATATAACAAAAATTAAAAATATCTAATATATTATTATGATATGTAATCATGTTATTTATTTTCTTTTACAGGCATTGAATACTCTGATACTGATTTAATTTCGGTTCGTATTAAGGCATTAAACCCTGGAAAAGCAAAAATCCAGGCAACCGTTCAATTACCGGGCGGACAGAAAATCTCTACTTTTGTCGAAGTAGTTGGTAAGTGAAATTCAAAGGATTGTTGCTTTTGTTGTAACATTGGTTTTTGTTTTCTTGTCATTTATTTTTTTATTTTTCAATTTAGTTTTCAAACAACTTGAACTGGAATCTCCAAAACACATAACCACGGATACAATTTTGCTAGCACCACGTAGCTCCATTCAGTTGAAAGCGAACTTAGACGATGTCCTCTATAGACTGTCCAGTGATAGTAATACCATTGTTAAAGTGACGCCAGATGGTATTGTACGGACACAAGAGACTTTGGGCAGAGATTTAGTCATTGTATGTATATGTACCAAGGGCAAACACCCAAAACAAAACCTAAATCCAACCATTGACCATACTCACCTGTTGTTGTTTTTCTTTTCTTCTATTGTTGTTGCAAACTTTTTTATCTCCTTCGTTCGCATGAACCGTAAAAAGGCGAAAACATTTGATCAAACTTTAGCCATTGGTATTGAGGTTAAAAATGTCCAATACATTATGGCCGCGCTGGTGTATCCCACAATCAAACTAAAGAATACCGAAGAGAAAATTCCACGTGGCATGAATTTCGCGTTGAAAGTTTCATTGCATGACAATTTAGGCAATGAATTCTCGCACAATATCGAAGATGTCAACGGCTTGAAATATGATTTATCTCACAAGGATATTGTGGATGTTCAAATTGGCAATAATTTAACTGTTGCGGTAAGTAAACTACAGAATGATGTACATATGTATGTATGAAAAGTTTTGTTAGTTATCCACGATGACGACGACATAGTTCTATGCAATGTATAACTTTTTCTAGATTAAAAGTGAGAGGGGTTTTTTGGTTTAGTTGTGATATATTTCTAATTAGTCTTGTTGCGGTAGATGCGTAAAGTTTAAAAGAAAGATTATGTTATGTCATATTTAAACTTGTAATCTCCTGCTAGCACACATTCAACGGCATACCAATTTATAGTAACAGATGTGTCGCCAGGGCTATACTCTGGAGTTCAATACTGTTGGTGCTACGTAATGCAGAAAATGAAAAGAAATAGTAGTTCATTTTTCTTCTTGGGATATCATATTGTAGCATAGTTTTTTTTTTGTTTCTCACCTGAAGTAATACTACAGTAGGTTTCACAAAATCGTTTCGCCAAATCGTAGAATAAAGCAATAAAATGTTTACGATAAAACGACAAATGACTAACATCTGTAAAACAAATATTAGAAGGAATTTTTGATGTTAAAATGGACCTCGCACAGATAGGCTGGATAGGAGGTAAAAATCGACCATACCTGTTTTAAACCATTTACAAAAAATTATAGTAATAATGGATTTCTTTTATTATAGTAATAATGGAAACTTATTATAATTATAGTAATAATGGAAAATTATTTTGCAACATACATTTTGCAAAATAAGTTTCTCTAGTGTATTTATTTATAACTTTGCTTTCTTTCATTTGAGGTGACGTATTATTATAACATAATATAATATTTATTTGTATTATGTAGTCTATGTATACAAAACAGAAAAAAAAACATCGAACAGATTTTAGGGATTTACAAAGTATTTCAAGGCATGCCCTTGAAGTAACCTGGGTCAGATATGTGCTTCAAAAATTTCGCGTGGGTGCGAAGTAATAACATCGAAGGCTCTACCATACCTTAGTTATAATTCCTAAGGTAGGATAGAACCTTATAATTCCTAAAGTATAATAGAGCCTTCGATGTTACTACTCCGCACCCACGCGAAGTCATGTTAAAAATATGCAAAATATGCAAAAAATATGCAAACTATGCAAAAAATATGCACGGTATGCTAGGTCGATATGCAATAAATATGCAAAAAATATGCACGGTATGCTAGGTCGATGCAAAAATATGCAGAATATGCAAAATATGCAAAAATATACAAAATATGCAAAAATGTGCAGAATATGCAAAAATATGCAGAATATGCAAAAATATGCAGAACATGCAAAATATGCAAAATATAGGCAAAAATATGCAAAATATGCAAAAATATGCAAAATATGCAGAATATGCAAAAAATATGCAAAAATATGCAGAATATGCAAAATATGCAAAATATGCAAAAATATGCAGAATATGCAAAAATATGCAGAATATGCAAAATATGCAGAATATGCAAAAATATGCAAAAATATGCAAAATATGCAAAAATATGCAAAATATGCAAAAATATGCAAAAATATGCAAAATATATGCAAACATATGCAAAATATGCAAAAGTATGCAAAATATGCAAAAGTATGCAGAATATGCAAAATATGTAAATCTTCATTATTAAAAAAGTCATTACATTCGATAAAAGGATTCTTAATAGGAATATTTAGTCGCTTGAAAAGTACGAACAATAAACCGATTATTTGAAAAGGTTTGAGTGACTCAGATGTCTTTTGAAATCACATTTCAAATGCTATGTTGTATACGTAATTATATATTATGTATTAAATTCAACCCGGAAAGAAATCTTAATCGGGTGGAAGAACAACACCATTTCATATGTCAAATACTAGGAAAATATTGAAATGGTATGTTTTAAATGTACAGCTTTATTCTTACAATACTAAATAAACCGAAAATCTGAATCTTTTCACATATACAGTAGAGGACATTCGTTTGAGCGCATATGATGTTTTTGAGATTTTGCTATGAAAACACATTATTGTCATATATTTTTTTAAACAAAATTGTGAATATATTTAGGGTGTCGAATATCAAATTCAAACCAAAAACATTTTTCATACACTTTTTGAAATAACTTAAAATAAGTCATATTTTGTTGTTTTTGTATGGACCAAACTATTATAGTTGCAACGAAAAATGTAAATAAAGATGTGGTAAGATCGAAGCCGAATTTCTGGGGGGAAGTCAAATGGTATGGGGTGCATACTCGTACGAATGTAAGCTTCCACTTTGTGATGTGTCTACCAAAATGGATTCTGAAATGTATAGCATTTCCAGATTAAATGAAACCTTTTACAAATTAAATGAAACCTTTTCCAAATTAAATGAAACCTTTTCTAAATTAAATGAAACCTTTTCCAATTGAAATGAAACCTTTTACAAATAGAATGAAACCTTTTCCAATTGAAATGAAACCTTTTACAAATAGATTGAAACTTTTTCCAAATTAAATGAAACCTTTATTCTTATCTAAGGAAATATAATATTTGCAGTAATTTTAAACCAATATTTGAAAATTAAATCAAAGAATATTAACAAATATAGTTGTATGGCTATGTAATTAACATAAATATTCTTTAATTCGGTGTGATTTCATTTAATATCTTTACTACATAAAACTAAATAAATAGTAATACAAACTGACAAACTCTTGACATTTTAATAAATAAATAAATATTTAAGAACAAGAATTGAATACCCGGTCCTAAATGCAAAATACATATTTGACTTAATAAATTGTTGATGATAAGGTACCGGCTTATCTTAATGAAGGGGTTCCCGACTTGCAGCTTGTGGGATTTTCAAAACCATGTCCATAACGTAGTTAGAAAAATCTTGCCGAGTAAGCTTTTGAATATTTCGCTCGATTACATCAACAATGTTGTTCCATTGAAACGTCACACAGCTTATCATCAACAATTTTTTAAGTCAAATATGTATTTCGCATTTAGGACCGGGTATTCAATTCTTGTTCTTAAATATTTATTTATTAAAATGTCAAGAAATACCCCAGTTTGTATTACTATTTATTTAGTTTTATGTAGTAAAGATATTAAATGAAATCACACCGAATTAAAGAATATTTATGTTAATTACATAGCCATACAACTATATTTGTTAATATTCTTTGATTTAATTTTCAAATATTGGTTTAAAATTACTGCAAATATTATATTTCCTTAGATAAGAATAAAGGTTTCATTTAATTTGGAAAAAGTTTCATTCTATTTGTAAAAGGTTTCATTTCAATTGGAAAAGGTTTCATTCTATTTGTAAAAGGGTTCATTTCAATTGGAAAAGGTTTCATTTAATTTGGAAAAGGTTTCATTTAATTTGGAAAAGGTTTCATTTAATTTGGAAAAGGTTTCATTTAATTTGTAAAAGGTTTCATTTAATCTGGAAATGCTATATAATGAATTATTAGACGTTGTTTTAATAACACATTTTGATTAAAAAGAGGGCAAAGATATAATTTTTCACCAGGATAATGCTTCCATTGAGCCTCGAAGCAAACAAAAACTTGATATAAATATTTTACCATAGACGGCTTGCACTCCATACTGTCACCCTTTTGAAAACTTATACGAGATTACTGTGACAAAAGTATACGACTCGACATGAATTTTTCTTTTATAAATTACCTTAAATATGCTGTGAAGGAATGCTGGTTAGATATCAGCATAAATACTCTCCATAATTTGGTATACTCTTTGTCAAACAGTATTATATCTGTTACTTAAAATAGCGGTGAACATGCAAAATGTTTTTGATTTGTATTTGATATTCGATACACTTAATAAATTCACCATTTTGTTTAAAAAAAATATATATAACAATAATGAGTTTTCATAGTAAATATAATACAAATATTCCTTTTTATATTTAATGAACACCATTTCACCAAAGCAATTAAGATAAATTAAATAATAAATCTACAACAAAATATATACCTATTTCTACACATATTATATTGGAATTGTATGTATACATCACATGCGTGCCACTTGTCCGACTTTGATTCTTTTCTTTAACAGTAAAATAAACTGCAGAAATGTAGTTTGAAAATTTGGAAATTTATATAAATGGTTCCCATTTATATAAATCTAAGGAAAACGCTTAGAATATTCGTGAAAATTAGTATCATAAAATATAGCAAATTTGCAATAATGTGCTAATTTATTCAAAATAGACTGTAGTGGCACATTTGTGATTCTTAACGAATGGTTTTGAAATGGGTGTTTAAGGAAGCATTTTGTCCGCCTACGAATGATTTTGCTTACAATGAAAAACATTCGCATTCGAATAAATTTGTTTAGTATGAATCAAATGTTTTTGTATTTCAACTGCGGATAAACATTCTGTTTGTATATCCTGTACTATTCTATACTCGTAATGATTATTTTTTTCTTTCGATATTGACGACAATATATTTATAAATCTATTCAGCTACTATAATACAGGGATTTTCTTAGGGTCATTACTGTACTCGTACATATTGCATTGCGCAAATACGTTTGCGTAAAATCTTTGATACAGTGACCGCATTTTGGCCACAAGTTTTCAACTATACTGACGCACGTAAACCTGGTCTTAAAACTAGCAAAACTTGTGCAGGAAACTTTCCCACACCAACATTAGAGTGAAATGAAAAAAGAAGAAGAAAAAACGAAAGCAAAGGCAAAGAAAAAACTTCCACAATAAGCGTCTTAGAATCTCAGTCATGGTTGTCTTTTCTATAATAGTTTTTATTTGAGTTCTATGGCAAAATAACCACATAGACTTGGTTTTGGCATGCCACTATCGCGCAGCAGGAAATCTGCCACCAAATGGGGGTTTCTCTGACAACAACGATGCATAACAACAGCTCCGAATGAATAGCCCATATATGTATGTACATAGATAGTTGGTTGGTTGGTGGCAAATGCTTTTTGCGTAAAACTCCTGTTTGCTTTTCTTTCATTTTTTTGCCACTGATGATGATGATGACAGTACACATTTTACGGAAATAGGTGTATTGCGAATACAGCAGTGGCGAGTGGTCGGCCGATGGGTAATGACGATGGTGTCACCACGGCTATCAAAGTCCTTGGTCTGTTACGAAATAAAAATGCAATGCGTTACGTCGCAACATAATCCCACTTGGCTATGGTTTTCTTTTTCTCAAGTTATGTGCTATATGCGAAGGAGGGGAGGGGGATGGGCGAATGAGGCTGAGTGAATGTGCGTGTGTGTTTGTTTGTTTGGTCAGTCATAAGGTAATATTAAAAGTTCCAAAGGATGTGGAGAGAGAACGCAGTGGGGGCATATCATATCCGGTTCAGTTTCCACAAGTCGTCTGTCCTTCGTTTTAAAGCCACAACATATTAAATGGTTCGTTATACTAGAACACTGCCAGTGATGGTAGCAGGACATTTATTCCCGTAGGAATCGTCACATGCATGGTGTGTGTTTTGTTGTAGTTTTTCATTTAATATCTTCAGAGGATTTTGTTGTGGAGTTATTTGTTAGATATACGTTGTTGTCGTACTATCCTATTTGTTTTGTCTTGTTCTATCGTTCTCCCTCTCTGTCTGAAATTATAGTAAATCATATTTATATTTGTTATTGTTGCTGTTGTTGTGTACATTTTAGATAAATCTGCCACGTGAAACGAGCAACATGATTGCCATAAGTTTAAAGGATGCTACGGGAGTTAAGCATGCTGAGGATTATATCAAACTGTCAGTTGGCGATTCCAAGCATATTTATCCAACTAAGGTAAGTCATACTACAACGTACAACATATTGCATTTAAATTGAAAATATGAACACACACACACACATCCATTTGTGTCGGTGTGTATATTTTCGAACATTTTAAAACCAGGACAAACAACATACATACACCCATATAAACAACGAAACACAGTCACAACAACATTTAGAAATGTTGTTGTACATAAAATAAAAAACTAAAAAAAAACAAGGGATCATGTCATTGATTTATTTGTATAAGACGACGGTTCTGTTTCTAATATCGCATAATAAAACATTCCTTTAGTATTGTAATACATAATCTTACGAGGGTTTGAGAAAACAGTTACTTAATTGAAATATACAATCAAATGTCGAATGTCTAACAACTTTGAATGCTTAATTCTTAGTATATATCTTATTTAAATTTGCTATAATAGTTTTTTTTATAAAATTATTACAGGTCACTTTTTAATGTAATCACAAAAAATTTTATATATTTTTTGAAAAATTAGGATTTGTTCCATACTGGGTCATGTAGGCAATTAATGGCTCTCAATTGCGATGTGATCTCCGAGAATCTTTATTTTTACATTTAATTTGCCGATCAGATCCTGATAGGTCAGTGTTACGATGGCTATATTTTTCCATAAAATCCAATCATTCACGAAAACAAAGAAATTATGCTGGCTTAAGGTAGTATTTTAAGTCCCCTAGATGATTATCTGGTCTTATGAAGAGCTATAGTTCTTAAAGTAGCGTTCTGAAAAGGTCTACTTTCTGTATCATTACTATTTGTATTATTGAAGGCCAGATCATTTTATAAGAGGTCAACAAGGTTTCCTTAGCTATAAGGTTAAAGGATCGAATTAAAGATAATAACAATTGGTTAGCCTACGAAAGTAATATCGGCACATCCAGTTGTTTCAGTCTTGCATAAGCGATTTTTATGAATTATTGTATATGTATATCACTGTCGTATTTATAAGACAAATCGGTGCTATGACTGTCGTTACAATACGATAAATTTGTCGTTAAAAATTATGTGGAAGATAGAATAAAAATCTTTTGTTATTTGAATTTTGCCTTGTAAGGGAAGTGATCATTTGAAAATAATTTTTAAGTAAGTTATTTATACTCTTACGAGTCGAGCTTAATGATCAATGAAATACAAATTATCAATATACCAATATAGGTAGGTTCTTCTCCTGGCTTTCCTGTACATTGCAAAACTTAGATCATTTCGCTCGACTCGAAAGTGTATAAATAACTAACTTAAAAAGAATAAAAAACTATAAAAATATTTTTTTCAATTCTATTCGATTATATTCTATTCAAACAACTCATCATTGGGTTTGCAGCGAGTCAGATATATAATAATCTTATCCCAAAGAACAAAGATATAAGCACATCCCAGAAACTCTTTTTCATGAAGATATAGTTAAACTCCATTCCATAAAGAAACACGGACATTAATAAAGCATGACCATCTTTGTATTTTATACAGAATGGTAAAAAATTGTTGACATTGTATAATCTCGTGAGGCAAAGATTAACTTTTGAAATTTCAAATTACAATCAATTTCAAAGCCAAGACACGTCACAGACTGCGAAGAAGCAATTGATTTCCCCTGCAAGCGTATACATCGTTGAATAGGTAAATCGGAAGCCAACTAGAAATTCGACCAATATCACTATCAAGTGCATAAATGCAACTAGTTATGTCAAGACATGGACTATATTCTAAGAAGAATATATATTCTAAGAAGAATGCTGAACATGAAGATACAAAATTGCAAGACGGAAGACAAAAATTATAAAGGTTTAAATTTATAGGAATATAGGCTTTTAAAATGAGGAGTTAACGCCTATTTTGCAAAGCACCTGATTTTTATTTTGGGTTCCCCTGTATAATAGAATTTTTAATTGTATGAAAAAAAAAATACAAACTTATCATCTCCGTCAATTCTCACTTTGGGTTTTGGCCTCCATTCTTTGAAGAAAAAAATAACGGTTCTGTTTGTACGGGTCAATCTCATTGAATGTTATTTGCAATATTACCGATTGTTAACTGTGGGTTTGCAGCACTTGATAGGTTCTAAGAACTTAATTTGCGAATGGATGCCACCGGCAGTGTACTCGGGCTTCCTGCTATTGGACACGATTATAGGGATGACTGATAAATGAAAAAAGCAGGCTGGCACGAGTTTTGGTAGAAGAATGTCTCTGAATATTTGGCAAGGATTCATATAATATTTGCCGGTATCGAACTAAACTTCGAATCTTTTGGCTTCTGCCATAGGTGCAAAGTAAATGCCATACAGAAACCCTCAACTGTTATGGATTTATTTTGGTCTTCCCTATCATTCAAAACCTCCATCGTATGCACGTACTTAAAAATGGATTGCATCCTTTAGTTGAGCTCTTTGGGTCATTTTAGTTATATTCTAAAGAACATTGCATATTTATTGTCAAAGGAAACGTTCAGATGTTGCTGACATCAACCAAACCATTCTAAACTAAGCTAAACAATACCAAACAAACCTCCAACGCAAGCTGCTGTTGTTTGTTGCACTTGGCGATACTTTGTTGGTAGGTATTTGTATTTTGTTGCTGTTTTTGCACGTCATTCATTGTCTTGTGTTGTTGGCCCATTTTCAACATTTCTCCCCCAGCAATTTCTCTTTACTCTAATGGTCATTATTTAGTTTGTCCATTTTCGGACATGTTGTATTGACATTTTGATAAGCACCTACCTACCAAACGGGAAGGAACGAATGAATAGCCGAGATAAACATCTTAAAAAGTATCGTTTTAAGAGATTAAATCGTTTGCTGGCAGACGTGCTTCGTATGCTGAGCAAGTACATTTCTGATTATTTAATAAACTTTAAAATATACTGGTATATGACTGTTATCATCTACAAGGTGAGCTACAGTGAAAAGCAAAACAAAGAAGCTGCAAACTCATTTCGATAGATTGCAGTGAGAATCACATGTTAGTCTTAATATTTTTTTTACAATATACAACAAAAACAATGGCTCTTGATTAGTTTTCATTGATAGCAAATATATGTATTCATTGAATTTGACAGAATTGTGTAAGAACAACATATTTGGTTTGTTATTTCTTACAAATTATTATTTTTATGTAGTGACGTAGTCTCTGTATATATGTACACATATTATAAACGGTTATATTGTGTTTGATCTACACTGTATTTCAGATATAAGTAAATATTTTTTCCTTCTCACTTTCGTTGTCGTCGAATCGAGTTTTCTGCAATCATTTTCTTTATCAAAATAATACAAGACACACAGAACCGATGCGACAAAAAAGGTGTTGAAAACAGATACAGTTCATTGTAAACGCCATAAATTGCAATAGAATTTTCTTGCTTTTCTTGAACTTTAAATGGAAATATAGAAAATAATGATTGCGAATATAATTTTATGGCGTTTTGAAAGTGTTTGCTTCTGCTGTTGTTGCTGGTTACCGCCACTGTTACCTAACGATAAAGTAAATGCATTCATTGCGAATGCAATCAAATTTTATGCCCTTACAAACGACAGAAACGCCACTATTACCATAACGATTTCCATGGAAGAAGCGAAAGGAAAGAAATGAATGGAAAAGAAAAACAAACAAGAAATATAAATGTCTTTTAATATCAGACCACTAAACTATTTGTTGTACCGACAAAGGTCGAGTATGAATAAGGGGAATTGAAATTCCATTTAGATAACAGCAAGTTTTCATTATGAATATAAAAAATCATCATGTAGTCGGGTTTTGTACCGTGGGCATTCATTGAAGTATATTAAGAATCGACAAACAACATACATAGTTGGTAGAATTTAATCCCACTAATTCTGCAGGATCTACAATGATCATTTGTGTAATTTTCATCCATTATGAAAACTGAGAGATTAAAGCCTGCAGAGAGAGCGAGAGAGACAGAGAGAACAACGGAGAAATCTATGGCCTAATAAACTTTACTTAAGTTATAAAAAGTTGGAACTTCAACTGTATGTAATTACAGACGAAATAATCAGTGACTGCACCTATTATGTAACTTTCGATGCTCTCTAGATTATGGAAATCCTTCCAGAAGGCCCATTCGGTATTGTCCACTTTTAAACTTGACGAGTGTATTAACCCATGTAAAGCCAGATATTTTAAAATCAAATACATACTTTTAAAAATTGAATATTTTATTAAAAATTACAAATATTTCATTAATAATTAACTATTTGGTGTTCTTCTTTAAAACTGAGTTAAGAATGTAAATTCGCCATAGATTAAGTTTTTGAGTTATAACTTGCATTTGTTGCTGGTAACTGTAAAGTGCTACCTTTATTCATTTGTTTGCGGCTATGTGAACCATTTACATAAAATCGGACGAAAGTAGAAATTATATATATATATATAAATAAATTAGGGCGGGCCAAATTTTTTGTCGATTAAATAAGTCTATCTCGATGTTCGATTCTCCCACTTTTCAAAAAATAATTTTTTCCCTATATTCAAAATTCGATGGTTCCTCCACCAAAGTTGCTTAGAATTGGCTTTATCGAATTTTTCTGCTCCATACAATTTGGTCCGCCCTAATAAATATATATGGGCAATATTGCCATTTTTTAATATTCCATTTTCAAAAATCGATTTTTTTTTTGGTTTTCGTGGTACATCATGATTTTTGGTACACAAAAATGTTCTGAATCCGAAACCGTTCGCGATCAAATTTTTGGTTGATGCGCAAAAGTTATAGAGGTTTTAAATTTGGGCGTAAGGAAAAAATCTTCAAATTAAGCGTTTTATTAAATTGACCAAAAACGTTCATATATATCTTCCTTCGTAAAATAAGAATATGAATATATAATAATCATCGCGCAAAAGTTGCAGAAAAATTATAAAAATATAGGAGATTACGTTAATATTTTCATTATAATAATAACACGTATCATCCTAAAAAATTAATTTAAAAATATCTACATAATCTAAATACCACGATGAATCAAATGATATGAAAATCACACAAGTCTGTGTAGCGGTTTGTAAATTACAGCGACAACAAAACAATATATAGAGGAAAAATATTTGTTTTTGGTTCGAAGAAATAATGTCATCATATTTATTTTTTTTAATTTTATACAAGAAATTTCAGAAAAAAAATGTTGGGGTTATTCTTCTATTTTACCCAAATGTGTATACTTACACTTCATGTGTATAAGTATACACCTTGCGGATTGTACCGAGACCCTTCGGATAAATCTTGGGGCTCTGTAAGTAGAAATAAATCTTAAAATAAAACTATGTTATGAAATATACATTTTAAATTACGTCTAAATCGCGTAATTATCAAAATCATTTGATGCGCATGCGGTTTCAAGGAAGTCATGAAGTTTATCTTCCAATCCATGTATATTTTGCGAAATTTCATTTGACGGCTAAGATGTGTCACATGTTGCATTGAAGTACCCAAAAACTCGTAAAACGCGAATAATTTCCGAAAACTCCATTTGCCATTAACGCGCATACGATTTCGATATGCACCCTAAAAAAATACATCGATCTATACCGATTTCAATGTGGTCCATTAAGAAACATGGATGTGCCAGTTCACACTATTTTTGAGATAAATTGGGTCTTTCGGCTGAAGTTTTTAAAGTTCTCTTTTCGAAAAAGATCAAAATACGTATGAGGTCATTTATTGAAGCGGAAATGATCCACAGAAATGCAATTAAATCCACGATATTCTGAAAACCATTTTTTTCCAAATTTCGTGTTTTTGGAAGGCCAGTTCCCGATGTACTAATTGATGGATTTTCACGAAGAAGATTTTATATCATCCGATACGTAAAAAACCTTACTGATCGCGGGTACCCGACAGATCTACAAATTTGACCCGAAAAATAGGTTTTTTAGAAATTTGATCGCACAAAATTTTCACCTTCGGATGAGTATTACTCTGAAGCTGTGCATACTACATACACAAAATATATATCAAATTACTAAGATTCGCGACTACAATAATCTTATAATCGATTTTTAGAAATTCCTGTATGCGTATTAAAACTAGAAGTAAAATTCAAAAAAACACTCAAAATCGAGCTTCAAAATGTCAGCATCATTTAAAGGTAGACTGGTTCGCCTCAACCTGTTTTTAAACATTTTTTTACATTAAAGTAGACACAGCTTACACCAAAATAAAGTTTGGAGGTCAATATCATGAACAGTTTGCAACGACAGATCAATTAACCCAAAACTATTCACTTTTTTCCTATACTTAAGTAATTCCCGAGTTATAAAGGGATGAACCTCCGCTTCACCTATGTTAAAAATTGGCAATATTGCCCATATATATATATATATATATATATATATATATAAATCTGAACCTATTTCAGTAAATGTAGACAAATTATTCTTGACTCAATTGCATTGGATATGCAAACTTTCGTATAAATCGAACAAACATTGGCTCTTTGGTGCACCATCGAATCGGATGAAATTATATATGAGAGTTATATCTAAATCGGAATCGATTTCAACACAACTTAACAAACAACATTCTAGACTCAATTCAATACGCTGTGAAAAATTTTGTCTCAATCGACAAACCATGGGAGTTTGGTGCATCATTTACCTAAAATCGGACAAAAATATATCGGACGAAATTACATATGGGAGCTATATCTAAAACTGAAACGATTAAAAAAAACAAAACTTCGCATACATCAATATGTATCCAATGCAGTACGCTGTGCTAAATAGGACAACATTAGGGAGTTTAGTGCACCATTTATTTAAAATTGGAGGAAAATATATATATATATATATAATAATTTCATCACATTCGGATCATAATTGTGACCTGCAATTATTTACAGACAGACATCCATAGATCGACTCAGAAATGGATTCTATGCATATTCTCAGAAGAACCATGCACAAAGACATAATACCCTGATGGGTATAAAAATATGAACAAGAAATTCAAGGATTTTTAAGAGGTTTGGATGTTATACAGCTATAGTCATCCAACAAGATAAATTGTCATGATAATGGAATGGATCATGCTTCTGGATTCATACAACAGAGATCATTATAATTCAACAAACTCTGTGTGTATTGGGTTAATATTGAAGCCATAATGTGCTGCACATCATGAACTGTCATACCAATAAAACTAAGATAATCTACATCTCGTGAACTTGACATTAAACAACTAAACTGTGAGGTTTTCGCGTTAGTTTTTACCGGTACTGACAGTGAATTCCTTTTTGATCTACTTAATTGGCCAATGTGATAGTTCTAGACCAGGTAGAAAGAAGCATCTTCAAAAAATTGACCGTATAACCGCTTTTCAAATTGTGAGAAAATCCATACCTTTTTTTTTATATATTCGTAAAATGTCAATCTTTTATATATTAATGAAGGTTATGTCCCATATATGGTTGTGATGATGATTGTATGTTAGTTTATCTCATCACACCTTTACCGAGTGAATTTCAAATGTAAGTACAAAACATTACCTGGGAATAATTCATTTTTCCTTAAAAGGTATTGAAAAAAACCTTGTTTCAATGCATGTTAAAAATTCAACTGCAAATCGAGTGACGAGGGGTTGTGCATATGTGCATATGTGGGTATGTTTGTATGTATATATGTGTTTTTGTCCTTTACCTTCATGCTTTTATTCAACATCGATTTTACAGCTTATGGTAATGTAAACTAACTTGATTTTCTATTTTTATTTCTGCTATTTTTTCTTGCACACGACGATTTTCCTGAATGGCATGGCAAATGTATGCACTGGTGTTAACATTGTCATTGTCATCATCACCGTTATCGATGGTCGTTGCTCATCGCCGAAATACCACCATACCTGTCTCGTACGTTTCCTTTCGTCCCATCGCATGATCATCTATCCGAAAATGTTCGATGTCAACTACTCTGATGATGGAACTAAAATGCATCCTGTGGTAAAACTATAACACTGTCAACACTATATATCCTGCTACAACTGTTCTTGTCCGTGCTGTTGCTAACGCCACCACCGCCGCCACCTTCACCATCACCACTAACTATATCTATCGACGGATGTTGGTGACGATTATGCCGTTGTTGCTGTTGTGTACAATGATTTTTCAATCGTACCTCCGCCATCCGCCATCCGTAATACCATTGAATAATCAACATGTTGATTTTATATTCCCAACAACGACAACGGCGTCAATAACAACAACAACAAAAACTATAACAACAACATTATCATCGTCGTCAACCATAATAATATTGCAAACGTTGTTATTCGTTTGCGCTGCTTTGGTGGGTTGGGGATGCTAATTCGATGCTGGTTGCTGGCATTGCCGCCGCTGTTGTTGCTGATGATGGTCCTGCGATGCCGTGAATGGATTTCAATGACTGACTCCTTCGTCATTTGGCACCACTACTGGTTTATTGGTTCTTGCGGATTGATGATGCGTGTGCATGGGGGATTTCCTTGAAATGTTTACTTTAGACAATTTTCTCTGTCGGTGACATTATATGCTTTGATTCTCCACTGCCATTGTCATCGATTTGGATGAGTTCGGATGAACAAATTATCTCCATCGACAGTCGAACAGGTGAGTTGTGTGTGTTTGAATTTTGATTTTGTGTGTACACAACTGTGTAGATTAAGCATCTGAATGAAAAATCTTTTAACTGTAGTTGTATGTAGTGTGGGGGATGTGGATGGCTGCAGGCAGGCATGCAGGGTGGAGTGGGTAGTTGGTGGTTAGTGTGAATTCAGTTTTTATTATTTCAACTTAAGTATCCACTTATTGGCTAACAATCAATGTTTGTTGTGATAATACAAATTGAAAAATGCTTTAGTATTAGCTTTTAAGAGCGCGTTTTATGACACAAGAGGATAATCAAGGATGTGATCGAAGAGGAGAAGCGCAGTAATGGTTTTGATTATAAACATTTCGCTGGTCAAAAGTGTTTTTTTATTATTTTAAGGCCTAGTTACGTGTGTTTACTGATTAAAATTGTTATATTTTGACTTTTTTTGTTAAAAAAAAAAAACAACAGTTTGAGTAAAAAATGTAATAACATTCTATGGTATGGTATGGTTTTCCCATTATTCGTTGTGCTTAGAATAATTCTTCGTTGATATTAGTATAATTCCTAAACTAATATCAATTTAAGAGCGATAATTGCATGCTAGATTTGGTAGAAAATGTAGCCAGTTTCTTCTTTTTTTAACGAACACATATTCAAACGATTTCAATCTGAAGGTATACATTATAGCTAATAAGGACAAATTCAAGGGCGCCATGTGAAGCACGGTGTTGCAGAAACCCCGAAAATACCAAATTTTAATAGGTTATAATTTATTTATGGAAAATTGTTACCCAATTATAAATCATAAAATAAAAAACAGATTATTCGGCTGAAAAATGTATCTAAAAATTCCGACACCTTTTCTAAACAGTTTTCTGAAATTTCAGAAAATATATTTATGTATTTGTTATAATTTAAAAAATAAATATTGATCAATGTTTTAAAAATATAGTATTTTTCTTTTGACTATTTTCCTGTCATATATTTTTTTGTCGAATAACAAGTTTTAAACCCAGTGCCAAAAATCATAAAAAAACTTCGAAAGTTAACTTTTTTTTTATTAAGGGGTAAAAAATTGCTGAAGAGTGACAGTCAATATTTCGAGTAGTTCACGTGATAAGCAGTACGTATTATTTGAAAATCCACCCAACCGGGTTTAAACAAAAACCTGCGACGAACGAGCCAATGAACTTTGGCACAACGAACCTAGGTGCTATGTGTCAAGATCTATCTGGCCGACTTTATCAACCAAGAGAACAAACTCACTGTTGGACCTGAGTAAAGCTGAAATTCATTACTGGTCATAGCAATATCAGGACCTTTACCAGTAAGTGGGACCATGATGTTACTGATTACTGCAGACTCTGTGATGACGAGGAGGAGACAGAGACAATTGAGCATCTCCTGTGTCGCCGTCCAGTCCTGGCCTACAGACGGCACAGATTAGTGGGTGCTCACTTTCCACCGTGTCTAAGCTTCTTTTGAACTTTGGAACCTGATTTAATCTACAGCATCATTAGAAACCTAACGTTGTTGGGAAAGTGCAATCTTAGCACGTAATATGTTTTCTGTCCAAATTTCTATAGCCATCGAAATTATTTCCTACCTACCTCCTCATACTTCCTTATCTTTTCTATCCCACTTTCTCCCCTACAGATCTCTTCATATCTTTCATGGGTGATCACAATGGACGGGGCGGTATCAGAGTGCTTGCAGCCACATTAGTGACTGCACATCTCCAAACCTAACCTTAAACAAAAACCTTAGCTAGTAATTTAAAACTCAGTTAGGATTTTTCTTCTATCAACATGAGCATTCAGATTTTGGCGGTCTTGCTTGGTTCAAGATTTTTGTGTTGTATTGTGTATTTAGGCCCAACTGAATACCATGTTTACTTATATTTCATTAATCACAACTCTTATGAGTCGCTTATGGGCGATCCATATAAAAAGCGAAACGCAATAATTTGTTTACCTTGTTTTCATTTTTTCATAGCTACAGTTTTACGGTGATATAATGTTTTAATACATTTGATTTCTTTCCTACCATCATTATTGACATCATTTTGTTGGCCAAAAACAAACACCAAAATAAACAAACATTCAACAAAAAATGATTTAATTGAAGTTGTTCATAACTTTAAATACCCATTTTGACTTTGATTGCATGACAAGCGATGAGTATCTATTGCAAATCCCACAACAATATATGACAATAAATGTCAATAAAAGTTTTTACATTGACGTTTTTATGTGTGTGTGTGTGTGCGTGCGTGTATGTACACAAACACACATTTGGTTGTCATCGGCTATCCTGCTGTTGTCAACGTAATAAATATCTGTGTTACTCCTCTTCATCAAACATTATGTCCATGGTGACCGGTGGTTGTTCTTCCTTCATATATTCATGTATAATACATCTATCTATGTTTTTGGTTTAATAAACACTGACGTGTGTGTATGCGTGTATGTGTGCATTGGTGTGTCAACATTGTAGCTATAGTTTCTGAATGATTCAACTCCCACAACAATTACTGGCCGGGTCTCGTGCGTACCCTGTTTTCGTATTTTCAACACAGCGGTAGTTTGTCGAATTCCGTCTGTTTGCTTTTATTTGGATGACAACTTTTGTTTGTTAATAAAACGTGCTCCCGTTCGAAATGCGTGGACAGTGGAACTGTATTAATAAGATTACAATTATTTTTTAAATAGTATTAATATAATATACCAACACCTTGTGGGGAATGGTATGGTCACTACATTCAAGACTTGAGGCAATTATTTCTTTAAATAATTTTCGTAAATTGCCTTATATGTTTACATGACCTTAGATAATCAGAAATTGCCAAATCTGCCAAAACGTTTCAGCACGCCAAATTTATTTGCTGCACTGAGATTCCAAGCCTGGACTTCAATCGTAGATATATTAAAAGTGGATCAGTTATAAATGACTGAATGAATATAATGAATTTCCAGATTCTCGTTAAATATTTTCATTTTCCAATTTCTTCTCGCTACCTGGTACCTCCACAGAAACTATTATAATTGGACGTACTCCGAGGGCCGCACGGGTGTATCATAATCCTGAAATAACGGGTATATCATTAACCCATTTTAACGAACTGGTTTCACTGTAACAATTTCTGGATATAACTTGCCTGGCTACACATTCATGTATATTATTCTGCCCGACAAGTTATCATAATTTATCCTGTTAATAACAATAGAATAAAGCAAAAACAAAACGAAAAAAGGAAAACGAAACGAATGGCTCAATCCTCATTACGGATGACATTTACATACCATTCATACGAATGAATGGACACATTTCCGGATACGCACCATAAAATTGTAAATAGCCAACGAATGATGTACCACTGACCACACAACAAATAAACGATGAATTTATTGGACAGTTACAAGGCTGACAAATGACATTTTTGTGCCAATGAATACCCAGCACCTGCCAGTGATTCTGTTATTTAAATCAGTGTTGGCGTTGGAATTTAAAATTAATACGATGATACTTGACGGATTTACAAAAATAAAAGGGAGAGTAATTAAAAAAAATCGAATAGTTTGTCGATTTTCATGCATCGTTTTTATTTTTTTGCCTTGGCCAGAATTTAGACCTTTTTTGATATTAAAGTTAACCCCCTGCTTATTATGCAAATACTATTCCGAAATCCTATTTCAGTAAATATAATGTCAGAAGCAATTATATTACTTCTAATATTACTGGACACAAATACTAAATTTGCTATTTTAAAAATAATAATTTTTTCTTCTAAAATTCCGACCCACACATTTTCTTTATGTTTTATATAAAATATCTAAAAAAACATGAAAGGTTTATAAAAGGTCTACTCTAGCCAAAACTGGTATGGGCGATAGACAACAGTCAGTCAAGAAAAATAATTTACAAAATTATTTTGTTGTTGTTTTTGTGATTAAAGAAAAATCCTTATTTTTGATGGTGGGTATGATAACTCCTCGCTGCAACATCGGAATCCGAAAATTCCAACTGTGTCTGATTAGGATTATTGACTTCGCTCAAAAATTAAAAAATGGCGGACGTTTGAAAAAAGGTTTTGTTCATATGCTAATACTATCGGTCGGCTAATAAGGTTTTATAGAAAAAAGTCAATAAAATTGGACATAAAGACAATGTTCGATGTCTTTATGATATTGGGATATAATCACTAAGACTGTGTACAATAATTTGGCAAAATGTTGTGAGACAGATCAGTGAACGGACGACCCGATTTGAACCATAATGAACCAACATGTTGCGAGACAGATGAATGCTCTTTACTCTGATATGTGATCTACAATTTACTTGAATTGATTATGGATTGTAATATATTAATATTTGTTTAAAAGTAAATCATATTGAAACATAATTTTATATCATTTGGATGACCCGATTTCAACAACCGCATACTTTAAACAAGCCTGTATCACGTTGGCAGATGGGACAATATTGTTAAAACAAGTAAATCTATCGGTTGAGGCCGACTATATGATACCAGGGTGCGAAGAATGATTAAAATACGCTCTTTCTCACGAATGCTCATGGCGAGAATTCGAATGTTTTCAATTTATCGCGAATGATAAAGATACAATGAATGACCAAGCATTTGCAATCTCTGGCGAATGTTCGCATTGTACGAAAAATGCATGAACGATAAAATTTCGCTGCAAGCGTCGTCGATTCATTCTTTCGTGAGCATTTATTGCTGAAGAACATTCTTTTGAAAAACTCAAAAAACAAATGTTTGCGAATGCTCGCGAGCGCTGTTAAAAATAAAAACAAAAAAAAAATATCATAAAAAAGTAAACAAACACAAACAACGACAGACCCACGACAGAGGGGTCTACGATCAGAAACGACCCGAGTCTTACTCGGCCAACGTTTGTCACCTCAGCCCATTGTGTAAAAGCAATAGGGCTGCTACAACAACAACAACGAAAGAATGTGTTCTCTCGGAACTCATGTGTAGTAGCATAAAGTGTGT